ATCCCGTACATAGACGTCTGGTTAGATATTGTCTGGGACAAACCTAGTTATATCAAAACCTGTGCCTACCCACAGGGCCAATCGGGGAAAAAGGGAGAGAGACGGACCCCTCGGGTGATGGTGGCCCGGTCTCCTAAGACCCCAAGTGCCCCGGTCCTCCCGGCACCTCCCGAGACCCCTCCCATGCGATCAACAAAACGCAGGGAAGTGCAGGCGCCTCCGCCGTATGCAGAGGGGGAAGGGACTGCCGAGCCCGTTAAGGAGAAGGAGGCCGGCCCCCTGTATCCCCCGCTGCCCACACCCGACTCTACGACCAGTCCTCCCCACACTCGGGCGGGCACGGCGTTTGGGCCTAAACCTGAAGGGGTTTTTCCATTGAGGGAAATAGGGGAAACGGACGCCGCTGGCCGGTCTCTCCGTACATATGTCCCCTTCACCACCTCAGATTTGTATAACTGGAAAAATCAGAACCCTCCTTTTTCGGTAGACCCAGAGGGGGTAATAACCTTGCTGGAATCAGTATTCTATACTCATCAGCCCACATGGGATGATTGCCAGCAACTTCTTAGTACCCTTTTTACAGCAGAGGAGAGAGAGAGAATTAAAGCGGAGAGTCGGAAGCAGGTTAGGGACCCTCACGGCGAACCAACCACAGACGGGACTCGTATAGAAGAGACTTTCCCGGCCGCGCGCCCAACTTGGAATCCAAACTCCGCTTTTGGGGGGGAGGCCTTAGTCCGGTACCGCCAGACTCTATTAAGGGGTATTCGAGCGGCAGCTCGAAAACCCACTAACCTGACTAAGGTGACTGAAACCAAACAGGGCCCGAACGAGAGCCCCACTGCCTTTTTAGAGAGACTCTGTCAAGCCTATAGGACCTGGACTCCCATAGATCCTAAGGCGCCGGAAAATCAGCCGGCAGTGGTCCTCCAGTTCGTAGCCCAGTCAGCCCCAGATATTAGAAGGAAATTGCAGAAGTTAGAGGGGTTCGAAGGGAAGTCTCTCTCTGAGTTACTAGCGATAGCCCAAAGAGTATTTGAAAACCGGGAGGACCCAGCTAAAGTTACCCAGGAATTAACTCAGAAGATGGCTAGGGTCCTCCTAGCCAGGGAAGATAAGGAGCAGAGACCTAAGGGCAATAAACCGAACAAAGGGAGAGACGGGACCAGACTGAAGAAGGACCAATGTGCATATTGCAAGGAGGAAGGGCACTGGAAGCGAGAATGTCCTAAAAAGCTGATGAAATACCAAGCCACCTCAGTGCTGGTTGAAGAAATAAATTAGGGACATCGAGGCTCCCTAGGCCCTCGGGAGCCCCGGCTAACTCTCTCGGTAGGGGGCCGACCCATAGACTTTCTGGTGGATACCGGGGCCACCCATTCTGTGGTCCAACATCCCGTCGGACCAATAACTAAAGAAACAATAAGAATAGTTGGAGCAACTGGAAAGCCCAAGAGTTATCCCAAATCCCAAGGGAGGCTCGTAGATATAGGAAGGGGATTAGTAACTCACTCCTTCCTAGTAATTCCTGAGTGCCCTGAGCCCCTACTCGGGAGGGATTTACTACAGAAACTCCGAGCTACCATAACCTTCTCCGAGACTGGGGAAACTAGGGTGGAGACAGAGGGAAAAATTCTACTCACCCTTCCAGTAGAGGAAGAATATCGCCTATATGAGCCCCCGAGAGTTGAAACAACAGAGGATCTCATAGGGATATGGAGGAGGGAGATTCCCGAGGTATGGGCTGAAGGCAATCCTCCAGGACTAGCAAGCCACCGACCGCCCATTGTAGTCCAACTCAAGGGTTCGGCCCTCCCTGTCCGAGTCAGACAATACCCTATGAGCCAAGAGGCCAGGAGGGGGATAAAGGTTCATATTGACAGATTAAGGACTGCAGGGGTCCTAATCTCATGTAAGTCGGCCTGGAATACCCCTTTGCTACCAGTGAGGAAGCCTGGGACAGGCGATTACCGGCCAGTACAAGACCTCAGGGAAGTCAATAGCCGAGTAGACACCATTCACCCAACGGTGCCCAACCCGTATACCCTCCTCAGCCTGCTGCCTCCGAGTTTAACCTGGTACAGTGTCCTAGACCTGAAGGATGCCTTCTTCAGCCTCCCACTAGCTCCCCAGAGCCAGCCCATTTTTGCTTTTGAGTGGACAGACCCCGACGGGGGAGAATCAGGACAGCTAACTTGGACTAGGCTCCCACAGGGGTTTAAGAATTCCCCGACCTTGTTCGATGAGGCTCTCAGTCAGGACTTAAGGGAATACCGCATGCAGCATCCAGGAATTACTCTCTTACAGTACGTAGATGACCTACTAATCGCGGCCGGGACTAGGGAAGAATGTAAGCAGGCAACAGAGGACTTATTAAGGACTCTAGGGATACTGGGGTACAAGGTCTCGGCCAAGAAGGCCCAAGTATGTTCCCAGGAAGTAACATACCTCGGCTACAAGCTGAGCCAAGGTCAACGGACTCTATCCCAAAGCCGGATACAGGCCATCTTACAGATACCCACTCCCACTACAAAGAGACAGGTGCGGGAATTCCTAGGGGCTGTAGGATACTGCCGCCTCTGGATCCCAGGGTTTGCAGAGACTGCGAAACCCCTCTACACGGCCACTGGAGGGAAAGAAGCAGAGCTTGTCTGGACCAGTGTGGAGGAAGAGGCATTCCAGGCCCTGAAGACGGCTTTGGTGAGTGCCCCGGCTCTCAATCTCCCCAACCTAGAGAAACCATTCCAGCTGTTCGTTGCGGAAGCTGGCGGGGTAGCTAAAGGAGTCCTCACCCAGGCCCTAGGCCCTTGGAACAGACCGGTTGCCTACCTGTCCAAGCGCCTAGATCCGGCCGCGGCCGGCTGGCCTGGATGCCTACGAACCATTGCTGCAGCAGCCCTCCTTGTGAAGGAAGCCACCAAACTTACCTTCGGCCAGACCCTAGAAGTCACCTCTTCCCATCACCTGGAAGGGCTATTAAAGATGCCCCCTGAGCGGTGGATGTCTAACGCCAGAATCACCCAGTACCAAATTCTCCTTCTCGACCCCCCTCGGATCACCTTTCGGCTATCTGCAGCCCTGAACCCAGCCACCCTGTTGCCCATGTCTGACGAGCAGCTCCCATTGCATAACTGCTCGGAAATATTAGAGACTCTTTCCTCCGCCCGACCGGACTTGACAGACGTGCCCCTCTGCGAGGCTGACGAGACCCTATTCACGGATGGGAGCAGTTTCATCAAGGAAGGGGTAAGATACGCCGGAGCAGCAGTAGTGAATCAAGGGGGCATTATCTGGGCCGAAGCTCTTCCCCAGGGCACCTCAGCCCAAAAAGCTGAACTTATAGCGCTAACGGAGGCACTCAAATGGGGAAGGGGGAAGAGGGTCAACATCTACACTGACAGCAGGTATGCCTTTGCTACCGTACACATCCATGGGGCCTTATACAAGGAACGGGGCTTGCTAACTGCGGGGGGAAAGGAAATTAAGCATGCCCCTGAAATTCTAGCCCTCCTTGCGGCCGTCTGGGGGCCAGAGAAGGTAGCGGTCATCCATTGTCGGGGGCACCAACGAGACAGCTCCGAAGTAACTAGAGGCAACCGTCTTGCTGACCAAACAGCCAGAGATGCTGCCCTAAGACTAGTAGGGCAGAAGGGAACAGTGATGGTCATCTCTGGGAACCTCGATCTTCCCACAGCCCCCGAATATTCCAAGAAGGAACAGGAACTAGGCCGGAAACTCAGAGGCGCTAGCTCCCCCTCTGGTTGGATCACTCTCCCAGACGGCCGGGTCCTCCTGCCACAGGCTTTGGGCAGGACGGTCGCCCGTAACACCCACAAGGAAACCCACCTAGGGGGACAGAAGCTTGCTGAATTAGTCAGGAAATTCTACCTCATCCCTGGGATTTACAGGATAGCCCAGGACGTGGCCAGAAGATGCCCAACTTGTGCACTGGTAAATGCAAACCCAGTCGCGGTAAGCGAGCCCGGGATCCGGGCTAGAGGGACTGAACCCGGAGAATTCTGGGAGATTGATTTTACTGAAATGCCGGCTGCAAGGGGAGGATACAAGTATCTCCTAGTATTAGTAGACACCTTTTCCGGATGGGCAGAAGCTTTTCCAACAAGAAGAGAGACTTCCCAGGTAGTAGTCAAGCAATTGGTCAATGAAATTATTCCCCGGTTTGGGTTGCCTATCTATCTGGGGTCTGACAATGGACCGGCGTTTACCGCCCAAGTCACCCAGCAATTGGCTACAGTCCTAAAAATTAACTGGAAGCTTCATTGTGCTTACCGCCCTCAGAGTTCAGGTCAAGTAGAAAGAATGAATAGGACCCTTAAGGAAATAATTACTAAATATAAAATAGAGACTGACGGGGACTGGGTAAGCTTACTTCCATTTGCTCTCTTAAGGGTTAGGTGCACTCCTTATTGCTCGGGGTATACTCCTTTTGAAATCATTTACGGTCGTCCTCCTCCTGTAGTCCCGAAGGTGGGGGAAGAACAAATTGCAGAACTTAGAAGTAAGAGTCTCCTTAAGTCCTTACAGGCCCTCCAGGTCGCCAGAGGGAAGGCGCAGGCTGCGGTTCGGGATGAACAACCAGGAACTACGGCCCCAGAGGGAAAGCGGAACCTGCTCTTCGAGCCCGGTGACCTGGTCCTGGTAAAGAGACTGAATCCGGAGCAGCTGACCCCCCGCTGGGACGGACCTTACACGGTAGTCCTCAGCACTCCAACAGCGGTAAAGGTAGCAGGAAAGAGCGCCTGGATCCATCACACTCGCCTTAAGAGGGCTCCAGAGGCCGCGGCCGCCGAGGACGACCGGAGATGGCGAGTGGAGCGGACTCCAGATCCCCTAAGACTCAGACTGGTTTCCTCCCCCTAACTTTGTTCTGCCTTACCACCCTTATTCCGCTTGGAGAGGGGGGAATAGGAGGGCCAATAAGCAAGGAGGAGTTACTCCTAAGATTATATGGGGGTCCCTGTAACTGTAAGGGGGGAACCATGAAGGTGATACCTACCTCATCCTCTCGGATTGTAGACTGCGGGACAAAAACCGCCTACTTAGAATACATAGCTAGACGAGGAGGGGGATATACCCAAAGTTGGGTATGTGTTGAAAAGCCAACCATTATCCCAGTGTCAGACGATGGCAAACCGGGCCCTTGCCCAACAGAATGCAAGGTAGCTAGTCAGATGCACTCTATCTGCTACCAGGACGCCCAGCAATGTACGCATGTAGACGGGAAACAATATCTCACTGCGATTCTCCAGCGAACTTACAGGGGGTCATCTGGGGGAGATTGGGACTTTACCTCAGGGCGGTCCTCCAAGTATAGTCAGGCCTCCTGTGTGGGGACGGTAGGAGAGCCCCTCTGCTGGCCCGCAACGGCCCCGATACACATATCCGACGGAGGAGGGCCCTCGGACCAAGTCAAGGAAGAGATAGTGAGGACAAAAATTGAAGAAATTATTAGGACAAGGTACCCCCCCTTAAATTACCATCCCTTAGCACTCCCGAAGTCCAGGGGCCCCGACCCAGATGTACAGACCAACAGGATTCTAGCGGCCACGCATCGGGCCCTGAACCTTTCCAACCCTAAATTAGCAGAGGACTGCTGGCTATGTATGACCCTTGGGACCCCTATGCCGCTAGCCATCCCACCTATAAACTCTTCGGTAGTAGAGGGAGGGAACTGCCCAATCAGCCCCCCTTTCAGGGTCCAACCTGTTGGATTCAATACATCTGCTTGCTTTCAACGGTTACCTATCAACAACAGCTTTGATTTAGATGTAGGTTTTATAACTTTTACTAATTGCTCTAGCTTAACTAATTATTCCCAATCCCTTTGCCCAGCCCCTGGGCAGGCCTTTGTCTGTGGGGGAAACATGGCCTACCCTGCTCTCCCTGTAAACTGGACAGGCCTCTGCATAACAGCAGCCATTCTCCCAGACCTTGACATAATCCCAGGGGATGAACCTGTACCCCTACCCCACCTGGAATACATAGCGGGTAGGAGTAAGAGAGCAGTTCAGCTTGTGCCCCTTCTTGTAGGGCTAGGGATAACGGGGGCAGTTGCTTCAGGAACTGCCGGTCTGGGAGTTGCAGTAGAGTCTTACAGGAAGTTGTCAAATCAATTAATTGATGATGTCCAAGCTCTATCTGGGACCATAAACGACCTTCAAGACCAGATAGATTCCCTAGCCGAGGTAGTCTTGCAGAATAGAAGGGGTTTAGATCTCCTGACTGCAGAGCAAGGGGGGATTTGTTTGGCCCTACAAGAACGATGCTGTTTCTATGCCAACAAATCGGGGATAGTCCGAGATAAGATCAAAACGCTACAGGAGGATCTAATTAAGCGAAGGAAGGAACTCCTAGATAACCCCCTGTGGTCGGGACTGAATGGTTTCCTCCCCTATCTACTCCCCTTGTTGGGACCTCTGGCCGGACTCCTCATCATCTTAGCAGTGGGACCCTGCGTCTTCCGTGCCCTAGTAAATATGATCCAGTCCAGAACACAGGATTTGCGAATTATGCTCCTCAGTACCTATTACCAGCCCCTGCCAGGGGAAGAAGGAGAAGAATCAAGGATTTGATTCTCCGTTAAGACTAGTAGGGAATGAGAGCCCCCATCTTAGGGTAGGAGGGGAGGAGGAGATAAGGAACTAGAAAGTTCCCGCGGAAGGTCCCTACCGGCCAGGGCCTAACAAGGCTAGCCACAAGCCGTCGGGAAGATGGCGGCAGCAGCAGCAAAATTGAGACAAAGAGATAGTCAGGTTTCAACGTCACCCCACATCTCTCCATCACACTTAGCCAATCAGGTAACAACAGGACCACCTTCGCCCTATCAGACCCTGCCAGCATAGCCCTCGCCCGGGAAGAAGGGATAAAAGGCTTCCTAAGCGGGAAATCGGGGCTCTCCGCCTCGAATTGTGTTTGGGTTGGTGGAGTAGCCCTGGTTCGAACCAGAAAATAAACGTTTCTGAATTGTGATTTCTGGTGTAGTGGTCTGTCTCGTGAGGGTCGCGCTCCGTAACAATACCTTAAAGGAGACAAGTTCCTGATATTTAGCACGCTGTAGTCTCCAGTATTTTGTTCTCTTTGTCAGCTATCATTACAGAAAAGGGTGAACTGTTTTCATAGATATTTTCTCCATTTTAGTGTCTACTTCAAAATTATTCCAGTAAGTCTTCAACTTTCATTGTCAATTATTTTTTAATTCTTCTGAAGTCAGAGTGAAACTCATATGAAATGCTGAAAAAGAATGAGGTCTCTTTAGTGCAGGCATGACATATAGTCTGGTTTGCTAGATTCTTAGGTTTTTGGTCCTGGTTACTTCTCTAGTATCCCATTTAACACTTTACACTGCTGTTGATGAGACTATGAATTCTTGACATGAATTTTCATTTGATGGCTTACTGTTCTTACCTTCTTAAACAAGGCCTTTCTAAATTACCTGTATCACCTTCGTTCATATAACACACTGAATTTGAGCAACACAGTGTGAAAAAGCATGAGTATTTGATTAATACTGATTCACGAGTCTCTATAATTTCTCCCATTTAATGTTTTGGTGACTCTAGTTTATTAACTTAACCTCGTAAGTTTCAATATTGTAACAGAGCCAGTCAGAAAAGCAGAAACACAAAGAATTGACAACACACTGTCTCTCACAAAACTGCAGGATCAGAATCAAAGGGTCACAAGATACGACGCGCCCATGGTCACACAAATGGTCGTCAAATCGCACGACCCCAAAGGTCACTGGACCTCAGAATCTCTCGACCCCATAAACCCCCTATCACAAAATCCACTGCCAAAATTTTCAGCATGGTTACACAAAGCAACTCCTCCCTTTTCCGACCGCTGCCAGAGCTCGAGGCTGACTGGCTGGTCCCGTCCCACCAACGGGCCTGATTTTCAATCCGAGGTCCAGGATGAAGCTCACACCAGACGGAACTAAACCTTATTGGACCAGACTCCATAACCCCAGGAATCCGAAGATCCAACCAAAGTGACTTCTTGCAGAAATTGACTTGGGCCGCGAAGGCCTCTGGGAAATGTAGTCCGGTGCCGGAAAGCTGCGGACTTTTTCAGCTTCTCACGCCCAGTTGCACTCCCACAGACTCCGAGTGCCCGGATCAAGGGAAGCTGCTTCATAAAACTCACACTGAGCCTCCTCCGCAGGTCTGGGCGCCTATAAACGCCGCGGTTGGTTATTAACACTGTTTGTAAACAGAAAGGACAGTTCGGCCCGGGTGAGCCGCGTGGGGCTCTGGGAAGTGTTGTTCTTTGTCTAACGGCCCAAGGCTTGTGCGGCGGTCGAGCCACAGCCCGCACCGACCCTAGTGCGCCCCTTGCTCAGCCCGCAGCCGCTGTGCCTCTTGGGCGGCGCTGACCTGTGGAATCGGGGCCTGTGCCCGCGGGCTCAGGGGTGAGTCCTCGGGAAGCTGCGAGCTCTGAGTCCGGGGCTCTTGGTGTTGGGTGGGGTTAGGGCCCTGCGGACCGGAGCCTTTGTCGCTGGGGGCGGACACCCGGCTGGGCTATCCCCGGGCGGGTGGTTCCCTGAGGCCGCGAGACTGGCGAGTTACAGACAACATGTGGCGTGATGTTACTGTATTTGCCAGATATTTGTGACTGAGTGTGTCCGTGGGATCGTGTGTATAAGAGTATTTTGTGGATGCGCTTTTCCTTTTAGGTTTCTAGATGATCGTGGGTGCGAGCGTGCCTGACTGGTGGGATCGAGAGTGAGTTAGAAACTCTGGATGAAAGGAGAGGACGGTAGTGTGTGTAGATTTGTGAGACTGCACCAGTGTATCATTTCTACAGTTATGGCAATAGAAAATATGTTTTTATGAGAGACGTCAATAGCCCCAACCCTTTATTTGAATATTTATTTATTTTACTTTTGTGTATCAGCCACATTGTTTTGTGACATATGCTAACTTCATGCTCCTTGTCCCCCACTCCGTGCCCTAAATCTCATTATACAGAAAGTTGCTGATAAACACCAGACTTGTGTTTTAGGGTCGTGGGAGGCGGGGGTGCAGGCTCCTAGAAGTGGAACTGATGGGTCAAAATGTATGCTCTTATTACAGGCTCCCTAAAATCCATCCAGTTATTCTCTAAGGTTCCAATGACCTACAGTATTATTAGCATAAGATTGCCAGTATTCATACACCCTTGAGAACAAATGGGTATCATTAATATTAGCAATCTTTGTAATGAATAAATGCTAGAGGCACAATATGGTAAATTCTGGATAAATAGTGCCTAGAGTCTGGTTTGGGTTTTGAATTCTCAAAATTGGATGCCACAGACAGACCATTGTGTGCTGGTCCTTCAGATATTTAATGCATTTTCACCGAACACATTCCATGTGACAGGCATTTTGGGGGGCTTTGAGGATACAGTAGAGAACAAGGCAGAAAGTGGTCCTGCCCTCACAGCTGAGTGTAGTGTGGTGCAGAGGGTATGCAGTGGTGAGAGGGCCATGAAATACTTGCAGTATTCCCTAAGTTTTAAAGATCAAAGATCAGCTCTAAAGAATGGCAAAACCATGTTGAATTGATCCAGACAGTATATCAGAAGCAAGTTAGAACTGCTGTGTCACTAGACTTTATTGACATGTTGAACCCACTTGCCAATTTTTTATTTAATAGTAATAAATGGAAAAAATCACTGAAATTTCAGATACCCATTTGGGTATGGAGGAAGCTTCCTGGAATGAAGAACCCAGGAGGGAGACTCTCGGAGAACAGGCTTCTCAACAAACCTTCTTGCTCAAACTTATTTCAAACTGAACAGGTTTCTTATTATATTACTCAGCCTCCTGGATTAAAATCAGCTAGTTGAGAACCATTAGCAAAGTATCAAGCCTTTTCAAGCCTAAAGTAAAAAGAGTTTTATTGAAACATTTTTTTTATTCTACCCATATATCTGTAAGTATCTTTCTACGTAACAAGTTAATGCATATTTCAGATGCTTTCTTATCTTATAGTCTTCAAAAGTATGCATAAGTCAAACCGAATGTCAAATTCTAACACCTGTTATAAATAAACAGGCTTAACATACACACACACACAATATTAGTAATCTTTAACTTCATAGATATAAAATAATTTCTTTAATTTGCAGTTGATTACAACTGAAGGCAAGCATTTAAAAATCCTTTTATGGCCCAGCAGAGTGGCTTAGTTGGTTGAGCATCATTCCACGTACCAAAAGGTAGTGGTTTGATTCCCAGTCAGGGCACATACCTGGGTTGTGGGTTTGATCCCTAGTTGGTGAGCTTTCAGAAGACAATTGATTGATATTTCTCTCTCACATTGATATTTCTCTCTCTCTCTAAGCATGTCCTCAGGTGAGGATTAAAAAAATCTTTTTATGAATTTTGTGTTTTCTAAAGTGGTGTTCTATTTTTAATTTTCTTTTCCAGAGTTCTTCATGTATTAAGGATTCATTCATTCATTTACTCCACCATTTATTGAATGCTGTCTGTGGGTCAGGAACAATTCTAGATGCTTGGGATATAGCATTGAACAAAAGAAACAAACTTCCTGGTATCATGGTACTTACATTGTTGTGGGCCAGGTAATAAATGAGGTAATTTAAATATAACATACATTAAGTAGTGAAAAATACTAAAAGAATAAAATAAAGCAGGAAGATAAATAGAATTAGGAATGGAAGTTGGAGTTTTAGATGGGGTAGCCAGGGAAGGGATCCTAAAACATAAAAATAAGCCCTGGCCAGTGTGGCTCAGTGCATTGAGCGTTGTCTCATGAACTGAGAGATCCCAGTTCGATTTTGGGTCAGGGCACATGCCTGGGTTTTGAGCTCCATCCCAGTGGGGGGTGTGCAGGAGGCAGCCGATTGATGTTTCTTTCTCACATCGATGTTTCTATCTTTCTCTCCCTTCCTCTCTCTCTAAAAAAAAAAAATCAATAAAACATTAAAAAATAAATAAAGATAAGAAAGAAGTAAAGGAGCTAGTTATGCATATAATCAAGGGAAGGCTATTCCAGGCAGAGGTAACAGCAGTTAAAAATCCCTGAGGTGGTAACATGCCAGTTACAATGAAGAGGCTGGAGTGGCTGAAATAGAGCAAATGAGAGGATGAGTGTTGAGAGATGAGAGCAAAATGATAAGTGGAAGGAAGGAGGGCAGATCAGGTTGGGCCTTATGGGCCATATTAATGATTTTGACTTTTACTCTAAATGAGATGGGAAGCTGTTGGAGAGTTTTGAGCATGGGAGTGATATTTGTATACTTTAAGATAATTGCTTTGGCTGCTCTGATGAGAGGACTGTGGGAGGAAGAATGGAGAAAGGGCAGAAGCAGAGCGACCAGTTTGGAAACTATTGCAATAATCTAGGGAAACGATGTTGGTGACCAGGACCAGAGGAAAATGGTGAGCAGTAATCATGTACTAGGTATAATTTAAAGGCAAAAGTGACATAATTGCTGATAAATCTTATATGGAGTGTGTGACAAGATGACACACTATTTTTTTTATCTGAGAAACTTGAATAATAGAGTTATCATTAACTGAGAAGGGAAAGAAAGAAGGAAAAACTGGCTGGGGCTTAGGGAAATAGTGAGATTTCAGTTTGGAATATGGTATATGAAGTGTGAGATACCCATTAGAT